CAGTACTTGATGCTGATGGAGCTGATGCTGATGGAACTGCTGCATTTGGGCTTGCATTGCCCGCATGCACTGCATCAAGTCGTCAAACTGGTTTTGGCTAGTCGCCAGGGGGACAGCAGTTGGTTCGGCAAAGGTTGTCTCGACAGGGAGAGGAAGGGGAATGTTCACAGGTGCCACCATGTTTGGTGTGTTGAGGCTAGGGATTCCGTCCGTCGATAGGGGAACGATGAACTGTCCTATGCACACAGTGGCGGAATGGGGGTGTTCCCCTACAGCATTCAAGTCGGCGTTGTGCCTACTGTTGTTGGGAGAAGCCATGGAAGCTAAGGTTTCTTTGAGAGAGAGAGAGAGTGTGTGTTAGAGGTTAGGGGAGGCTTTTTGAAGTCTTCCCACAGATGGCGCCAAATGATGATGCGCGATCCGGTCTGTCCTAGCTGCCGGTTACATTGCTTTTGACATGATCGGAGGTGCTTGAAACAAGGAAGAAAATGGAGGCTTCCGGGGAGGAACCCAGTTGGAACACTCTGAAGCTCAAGTTAGTGTTCTTCAGAAGGMAAGGGAAATGAGGAATTCTAAGACCAGAAAACGCAAGAATCACATGTCCTCTTCTTTGTGAGATCGGGGCCTTTTATAATCACCCTGTGTGCTCACTTCCATGCCTCTGCCAGCTCGGGCATCATTACCTCTGCTAGATCGGGTCACTTCCTTCTGTCAACTGCCAGTTCGGGTGTCATAACCTCCACTGCTAGTTGCCAGGGCCGCCTCTGTCCATCTGGGATGGCGGTTGTCATGGGTCAGTCCTCTGATCAGTCAGGTGCGCCGCCTCCGTGTACGGTCTCCTAGGCGTCAGGTACGGTTGCTCAGTCAGGTGATTTGGAGCCGAAGTGGTCTTTTATTGTGAAGTCTCGAGTTCGGATAGGAGTATGGCCCGAACTGCCCCTAGGTGGGTAGTTCGGTTTTTCTGCCTTTGGTGCTCCTTGTAAGGCTCAGGACCTCGAAGGGAGAGCTCGGGACTCTTTAGTTCGGAGCTCGGTTTGTAGGTTCCTTCGAGGGAGCTCGGCTCTCTTTAGTTTGGAGCTCGGATTGCAGGTTCCTTCGAGGGAGCTCGGCTCTTTAGTTCGGAGCTCGGGTTGTGGGCCTGCTGCCGTGCCGAGCTGGCGTTTCTACCAAGTCACTCTCGGTTGCTTCCACGTGTCGCATGGCCGAGGGGTCGGGTCAAATCTTCCTCCATCACCACCCATTTTCATTTCGTGGAAGTCTCCAATAGAGGAAAGGACTGCAGGTGATGGCACATTCTGCTTCTTATCTAGAGAGGTCCACAGAAATGGTTCCTATTGGGTCATTCGTGGCAGCTGGTATAGATGAATAAAGGCGGGCCGCTTGAACGGAACCTATTCTCTTAATAGGCTGCAAAGCTGAATAGGAAAGGGAGCCAAGCTGACTGATGAGCCATTTGGGTGATGAATTCATAAAGAATCTTCAGTGAAATCAGCCTAAGAACATGCCTCAAGAGACACAAAGGAGGACCTAATGGAAAATAAAGCAACTAGGAGGGATTTATAAAACCCACTGCCCTCCAAATATCAAAGTCTTCCTATGGCTTATCCAGATATCAACCTGGAATGTCCCAGGAAAAGCCATAGGAAGTGTCCGTAGTTCGGTCACTTGTCCGTAGTTCGGTAGCTTATCCAGATATCAACCTGGATTTACCATGTCTTCAAGAACTGTTTATTTGTAAAATAGATCTGGACGATCGTAAATCCTCAAATCCCTCATCTTACGGAAAATGGCAAAAATATTTTAGAATAGAGAAAATATATGATTAGTTGTGAAATGGGGAAGCAGTTTGAAACTATTGGGAAAAATAGCTAATTTAATGTGGTATATATGATAGAACAGAAATGGGAAACTGTTTACTAACTTAGAGTTGAGCCTTCCAGTGGTGATAAGAGTAGGAACAATGTTTTCAGGATTTCTAACAGTCAACAAGGAAATCACCAATAACCAGAAAGATAAAAAATTTAATTGGATAAAATAGAATCCCCCCAAGCAAGGTACAATCAAAATTAATTGTGATGCATCAAAGCTCCCAAATGGATAAAGTGTGGTTGGATGTATGCCTAGGGATGAGAAAACTTCTAAAATCAAAGGCTCAATTCATAGGAGTGACTACAATTAATGTATCCAAAGCGTTAGAATCCAAGGAAGCACATGTTATGGCAAGTTAATGTGACTATGAGGAGGTATGAATAGGAATATGTCGAAAAAAAAGTATGGATTACTGGTACCGGATAAGCTGGCAGTTGAAGTAAATGCAAGATTTATTTGGAATTACAGGTCAGCAAATGGCCTAGCTGATGCAATGGCTAGGCAAGGGGTAAACAGGGTACAAATGTCATAATCTATTGTAAGGATGAAAATGTCTGGGCAAATGTAATCAACCCCTTTGGCTTGGTTAGGTCACTCAGGAAATGTTTTGTTTTCTTCTGATTTCCCATGGTTTTCTTATTATATTAGTCATGGATTATTTGGGGTGTGCTACTCCCATCTTATGTAGCACCTCCTTTTCCCTTTAAATTAACAAAAAAAAAGAGGATTGAACCAGAAATGGCTGTCATAATAAGTGTTGTGAGACTAGGGGTGATCATTTTCAGCCCAGCCTGGAAATTCCAGGCTTGAGACAAATTTCAGGGTCGGGCTTGGGCCCAATACTTCAGGCCCAGCCTACAAATATTTACACATAATTTATAATGTATGTATGTATATATATATATATATGTATATATATGTTATTTTATGTAATATTTTATATTTTATATATAAATGTTATAATATTTTATATTATAAAATGTATAAAATAAATTTTATACACATTATATAATATTATATATAATGCTTTATACATAAAAGCTATAGGCATGGAATCAGGCTGGCCTAGACTATAGCCCTCATCACAGGTGCAAAGCCCGGCCCATGATCTCTGAAACCCAGCACAGTGAAGATGGTGAAACTGTCTGACACTACATTCGGTTAAAATTCTGCTCCAAAGAATCACTATTTGGAGAAGGGTTCAACTATGATATGGAAAAGATATCATATCTGAAAAACTTCTGACCAGTCAACTGGAATCAAAACCTGGTAGCCAATCAGGTGTTATTTATCAAAATTCATGGGTGGGTTTTGATTGATCAAAACTCCTCCCATACCATATCTTTTCCACATCATAGATTTTCCCTTTGGAGAATGAGATCCAATTCAAATATGATTCTTTGTTTAAGCTAAATTTTATCCTCCAAGAACCAATTCCTAGAATGAGTTTTGAGCCCAGAAAAAGAATTGGTTCCAACTCTGTTTATAAATACGAACTTCAAAGTGATTCTTAGAATTTAATGAAAAAGGAGATCGGCAAATGGGATGGCAGACTATTTAGCTAAGTAAAGGTTGAGTAGGGGTCAACTGTACTACGCTCAATTGTAATATATCTTATGTAGTTAAGGCTGTATCTTGTGCCTCTGGTTGGAAGTATTTTTTTTATCAGTGGCCTCTGGTTGGGAAGTCTTAATTGTATATTACTTTCTTATTGCTTGATTTAATAAAATTTCTATTAGTTATCCAAAAAAAAAAGTGATTCTTAAAATCATAATGTTCAGAATTAATTCTAAAAAAAGCATTCCAAACATAGCAACCAAGCTGGCAAGCCCCAAATTAGAACAGCAGTTAGGTATTTGGCCAAACTTATATGACAAGGTAATACTAAAGCAGTTGAAGAATCTATAAATTCAAGTACTACAGTGTTTTAACATATAATACCATAGGCACTTCACTTATTAAGAATTTTTTACATCATTCCTTTTGTCTAGGCTATGTTGGCTGTAATTTTTATCAGTTCAACCAAAATATATTCATGCATAATGCATTCCCAAATGTTTGTCTTATAATAGTAAAAATAAAATTCATAGGAAGAAAACCTTCTAAATGTTTGTCTCTTTCCAGTGTGTTCTGCCGCACCTCTCAACATGACACCAAATACAGGTCATTAATCCATAACATGTTCATCTAAACAAAGATAAAGTGAGAGGGTATTATACCAGGTTAATATGATAATTTTTTATCAGTGGTAATAAGATACATTTTAAGGAACAAAAAGATATGGCACCAGTTCCATTTTCTATAACAGTTTAATTTTTGGGTCCCAAATGTTTTTCTTCAGGCACATGCAAGTATGACTACATGCATAATGTTAAATGTAAAAGAAAATAACCCACCAGGATTAAAACATTAGTCATTACTCAGTCCACAACACCATCATCAGGATATCAATGGACATGTACGTCATGGATCCAAATAATGACTGCTATCAATAAATGGAGTAAAAAAAATAGCAAAAGAAAGTATTGGGTATCAATAAACTTCAATACACTTACATTGGGGAATGTCAGGATCATGTTCACTTAACACACACAACCCAGAAGCATGCCCCAAAACTACAAAAGGTGCAATATTCTATCGGTCACACACGAGTTATTTATTGCAAACTAAGTATAACACACCAGATAGGTTGTGTTTCTAGCATGATTAGAGACTCTGTGCATTGATTACATATAATTTTGGAATTCCCGAATCTGTATAGGATGCTCCTGTGAGCAAAAAAGTTCTGCAGGTCAATCTACAAGATATAATGAGACAATTATGGATTATGGAATTACCTGTCTAGAATACAACAGAAACTGCAGTCTCAGACATTGCAGATGATCAAAATAAAGACCAGAGTTAAGGCACAGAAATGTATTAGGGCTTTAGAAGCTTTGAGCAAATAGTGGAATTTGAGGAACCATGCTCAAAATATCAAGTGATGGACAACTACCATTACAATACCATACTTCTGCACAACTTGATTCCATAACAATTGGTGCAGATTTCTGATTTTCAGAAAAGATCCACAGTCCTAATGCAATCAAACAACTATAACTGCTAAAGGAAAAAAATAAATGCAACCAACCTGCCTGTGAAGAAAGCACCTCTGACAAATAAAATCAAGTACCTCATCATTGTATGCAAGCAAACACATAACAGTCATCTACAGTGCAGCATTTTATATGAGTTGATAAATGTAAGGGTCTTCATGGATTAATCAAAAAGAAGGATTATTGAAGAGAAATTCTGCCCCTTGCATGGGATGTCATCAGCTCGTACATCATGGACTGGACCACAGCCCACAAAGATTTCAAAAACTATAAATCTGACCTTGATTCCAATTTCCAAGTGCAAGAGTTTTTAAGATATAAAAAGAAGACTAGTGGTTTTGTTTGCTCTTTTTGTCATCTTTTTGTAAAGATCCTCATATAGCAGGACTTCCACCCAACCTCCTTGTATTAGTAGCCCTGTAATATATTTTATTTTAATGATTAAGTTTTTCACCAATCAAACAAGTAAATCCTCATTTAGATTGAGGTTTCAATGAAGGCCAGATATAAATAGAGATCAAGATTCAAGACACAAATAAAAAACACTTAGAATAAATTTCAAAATCAATTTCAAAAATGGGCTTACAAAAGAACTTCATCAAGGTCAGCCATTAGTCCATATTTGTTTGTATTTTTTTTATCAGCAGGAAAATACTTTTATTGATGTAAACTTAGGAGTCAAAGAGATTGTGTGTAAGTTCCAGCCAAAGCAACAAAAGATTACAGATTTTCCCAAAACATTTGCTGTCTTACAGCCCCTTGTTTGGCCAAAGAGTCTGTCATTCTGTTTGCTGTTCTTCTCACCCACTTAAAGGCAACATTTAGCTCCCTTGTTAGGCTTACAATCCCCCCGAATTTATACCAGAAGACCCAAGGAATCTGGGTACTGTTTCTTGTCCATGAGATGACTACTTGAGAATCCCCTTTCCACCTCTAAATTGTGGAAACCCAATTGTTTAGCAAGCCTTAACCCCTGCAGTAGACTGACCAGTTCTGTTGACAATGCATCACCATGCTCCAAAGGTCTGGAATACAAGGCCACCACTCTACCTTCTGTATCTCTGAAAACACCCCTACCATAACTATCCTTGCCTTTTCTTGAGCCGATAAAGCCACCTTTTCCAGGTACTCAAAATACCATTCAGTGAAAAGACTTGGAAATCATCCAATGTTTTCACCCAATGTGCTGTTAGACAGTTTTGTATGCCCTTAGCTTCAATCAGAATGATGTACTTTATGAGTTTATTGTAAATGAATAAAGATACATATTTGATTCAT